AACACAAGTGCTCCTCTAGTCAGATCACTCATCTCAGGACAAAAATGAACCCACCATGCAGACATAAACTGTGACTCTGGCTGCTGTCGTGCTTTATTTTGTTCGGTCCCTGTCCATTAAATTACTCCTACATTTAACAAGGTTTGTCAGATCCAGCTTTTTAATAAAAACAAAACTGAGGATTTAGGAATCTGATACATGAATAGACCTTCTGTGTCATCCACCTCCTGCACAGCAGCTGAAGATTTCGATGCAGGCTTGGTACAGGTGCAGCTCATCACCACCACCTAGTGGTTGCTTTGTATACTGTGCATGCACATGAACAATGAGAAAAGCTTGGCATATATCAGAGTTGTACATTGGGCGAGATGAAAACCAGCAACGTCAGTTAGGGAGGAGAGTTAAATTGTAAGAAATCTCTATCACTAAAGGTGTTTTTTCAGATTTAGTTTCTTAGCAGCATTTAAGGGAAATATCAAAAAACTGTTTATAGTGGGAAGTTTGGTATCGATTTCACTGTCGTCACACAGATTTTGCCTGTAAAACAAGAGTCAGGATAAAAATAATGTACATTTAAGATAACAGCAATGACAAAGTAGCAAAATATGAAAATACAAAACAAAATGAACTGTCATGAAAAAACTTGAAGAAATGACTTTCAGTTTGAGCTTAAATTCCCCAGAACAGCATCACCTCAGATCACTGACAGATGACCAGGGTGGTCTCATACAGTCAGCACCAATTCCCTTAAAGTAGAACGAATAAAAGGCTTTAAAATGCAGTGTGTCATAGCATTTGACATTGAGTTAGGAGTTTTTTGGGGTTTAAAAAAAACATGAAATGAAAGACCCTTATTACAAACACCTTGCTTTTAAAGTACTTGCACACACACACACACACCCACACACACACACACCCACACACACGCACACACACACACACACACATACACAGAGAAAAAACAACTGACATTTAAAGAAGGGCATTAGGTTAAAAAAAACATTTTTCAATCTTTCAATCAATCTGAAGATTCAAATTTCAGCATTGTCCTTCAGTAAAATTGAAATGAGTAATTGGAATCTGTATTTTACTGCAGGTAAATGGGACTAAAGCTGGAGATTTAGAGTTATAAAATCAAAACAACAAAGCCATGTGTAGGGGAGGACACGCTGTCTCTGCCTAGTAGGGTGCTGGCTTAGGGTTAGATCAAAGTTCCCACCAGGAGTGCTGGCCAGAGCACTGCTTGAGGCCATTCAGAGTGGTGAGTGAGGTAAATAAAGACGGAGATGCTGGTTTAGTGTCGTCTTCTTTCTTTACTGACTATCTTGAACAGCATGGGTGTGTTTGTGTGTGTGTGTGTGAGTGTGGTGTCCTGTCATTCACAGACACATATCTTTATCGGAGTCACGGGCCTACAAGGTCATCGCTCCCTCCGACCAGCGCACACACACTCAACATCCTGCTATGTAACGTCATCCACATCACAGCCACCCTCTGAACTGGCCCGCCCACAAAGGCAATAATCCAATAAACGGCAATAACTTTGGAAGGAAAGGCACAACTTCTGCAACAGCTATACATGACAACTATAACTTAGAGGCCTTTTCTACGTCATGAAAATATGTCAGATAAAATGAACAATTCAACAACCTAATATTTGGAGGAAAAAAAATTCTGTTGTATATCATTTCTCTCGCAATGCTGAATGAGTGTGGAGTTAGTTACATAATCTTAATTACTTTATTTCTATTTCCATTGCAATTGCATATTATTTATTCAGTTTTGATTCAATGAAAAATCATATACTCAAAAAATGAACAATGAATTAATGAATTAATGAATAGAAATTAATTCTATTGGAATGAACAGAACTTAAGAAAGAAAGCAAATAAAAGCTTCTGATTGTTACCCTTTAAAAAAAAAAAAAGTAATTCACAGCTTTATATATTTTAAAAATCCACCAATGATCCCCACATTTTTTAAAG